AAAGGCTGAGGTATAAAATTGCCATGAATATTAGGCCTATTTATTGTAATTATATGAATAATGATTCAAATGTTTTTATCAGTTAAGAACCAAAGATATACCGCCTCTGTGGTTGAGGGGTTAGAGTCGATGACTTCTAATCCAGTTACCTCTCTGGTGTGGGTTCGATCCCCGGGAGATGCTTTGGTAGTTTAGCACGGAGGAAGGTAGTCTAGTACTGGTGTAACTCTTCAGGAACGATTGTTAGGAAACTACCCGCCTATATGACTGAAATACTGTTGGGAAAAGGCTTAAAAAAATGAAACAAAACAAGGCGACACATCCGACTCACGGAGTTCTAGTTAACCCTCTGCCTGCTGGCTGCACCCATGCAACCAGTGTGACCTAAGATCAGCACTGTTTGTTACTCAGTCTGTACAATTGAAGGCTACACAAGTCATTAGTAAGATATTTAAAGGCACTATTTTTGTGGCATATAAGTCATTATCATTACCAGCTAGCCAAATTCGAAGAGTTGTGTTAAAGCTGCCTTCAGTTTTTATTAAATTCTGTTTGAAAAACAATTCTGTGTTGTTTCAAACAAACTTTTTCAATAATTTTTTCTTGAAAAATGCATCATATCCACTAGAGCTATTTATAACATGACAGTGATGTTCGTTTCTAAAAATAGAAGATAGGGAAACGAATCAGCTGCTTTACTTATTTAAATATATAATGGACAGGTAGAAGTTAAAGGTATTGAGGGGTTTCCTGACTGTTTATGTTTTTTATCATCGTCAGATTTCATTTTCCTCCTTAATTCTTTTGAGTTGACAATTATATGAAACGATTTATCTAAAAATAACATATTTAACCTTTAGAAAAATTGAAGGCCGCTTAAACAGCCTGAAGACTGCACCATATAAAAATATCGGGTCAATCAATAAAGATAAATAAACAATCCTGATATTATTATCCGATGAATCTCTGTTAAAAATCGATCAGTTACGTTTTTTCCCCAAACAAGTGCTTCTTCAATTATGGATAGCGTAATCACCTTAAATGATAAATTTGGTGTTTGAGGAACACTGAACTAACTGTGAAATCTTTTATAAACTAGTTACACCATTTTGATGAGGATGAAACCCTGGCATGTAGACAATGTACAGCATCATTCTTCAAATCAATCAATTATCTGTTTTAACTGTAAAATGGACTTGCCCAAACCCTGCTGTCAATATGTTACATGGACTTACCATGCTTTGAATTGATTAAAGGGACTCATCCTGCTGACTCACAGTGTTAAAGGGACACCACTGAGGTTTTTTGACATTATGATGGCACTGAAAATTATTAGCTATTTTTTGATATTTGAATGTTTGATGTAGGTTTAGGCCAATATGAACTTGTTTGCAAAATTTCAGATCAATCGATCACTCTACTTTTACAGAATGATTATTCTAATTGTAAAAAAAATGACCCAAAATTGAGAAGCGATGCAATGCTTATTTAAACTATATAATATTAAATTATCATAATATAGTTTGTTCATTTCTAATAATCAAATTTAAATGTTCAATAAATAAAAATCATAAGTTTTACATGACTACTCTGAATTGATAATTAAGTGATGTAAAAAAATCTGATGATAGTTATTATAAATGTAATTAAAAGAAATTCTATACTTTTAACACTTTCTTCAGTTACAAAACTCACGGTGTTTAACACTTTATCCAGTTACAAAAACTGTCCTTTAAGATCATTAATCTTATTTCATCAGGTAAAAATATCTTAATTGAATTTTAATACACATGTTAAAAATTTTGGCGGACAGTTGTAAACTTGAAAAATTTTAGTATGTCAGCAGTTGTCAAAATTAACGCTTGTTCAATAATGATTAATAATGATTAATAATTTCTTATGCAACAATTATATTAGCACACATTTCTAAATTGGTCATAAATTTTCCCGGTTGATATTTGATAGTTATGATGGTGGGGTGCGATCGACAAATCTTGATTGACTAATTACCGAGTGTTAGGTGACAGCTTAACGTAAACGATGTTATATGAATTATGCCGCTTTAATATGGTAGTACCTGTGCGATTAACCCTACTTCGATTTGTTTTATATGGTGCTCGCTAGACCGTGACGTTACTACAGTCATCTTTACGTTCATTCATCAATTTCGCTCAAGTTATCGGCAGTTTATTCTACAGTCGGTCTTTAATATTGGAAATTAAATATTTTGTCACGTATCGTACATCATCAGCTGTTTGGATAAGCCTCCTTAACTATGTAGTGTTACGATTTGAAGGATTTTATTCGGATTGTTCCTTGTTTAAGAAGTATGAAATTTTAAAAAGTTAAGGAAAATTACAGTGAATTTTGGATGTAATTAAAATTGTCTGAGAAAATTATTGAATATTTTAGGGAAAAAAAAGTATGTAAGTGCAAAAGTGATTATTTTGTTCATGTAAAAAAGCAAAAAGGCAAAAGGGTGTGTCAGAATGTATGTTTGAATTTTTTTATATTGTATATACATAATATGTATTGAGAAAACATAAAAGAGATTTTAAGGGTAGGAAATAATATTAGGCCAAAATCATGACCCCCTGTGTAATTTCTTTTTAGAGTTTTGTTTGCTAACAAAAAGAAGTGTCAGATTTTCTGAGATATTATTTTACGAAAAAACATTTTAATTTTCCACCCTTTTTATTTTTTTGGTGATAAATGTATTGAATTAACCATCTGGAACATTTATATAAATTTAAATTTCTTTTTAAAGTTTATGTAAATTTTTTAACAGATTAAGATAAATTGTTATAAGGTTAAGATGGCCTTTAGTTATAATGTCTGTAAATGCTGTTTATTGTTTTGTGCATGTACCATATTTAATTGTTATATCGGACAGAGTCGAATCAGTTAAGTTATCTCTTACCGTGCTAGATATAGTAAATGGACATGTCCATTTTTCAATTTGGAGAAATATTTTTCATCATTTTTAGGGAAAATTAAAAATACGTACTAACTTTATAGCAAACAGTGCAGACCATCATAGGACAGCATATTTCAGAACAAATTTATGATATTTTTAGGTATATTACAGTTGAAAATAAAGAACTTTCTGATGAGGTTTTTCTGAAATAAGTCTAGAAATTTTTAGCTGGATCTTGTTTGTATGCCACCATCAAACCTGAAATGTTAAACACCACCCTCAAAAACTGACTACTAACACAATGTTCTCAAAAGTTAATGTCATTAATTTCTTTTTATCTAAAAAGTTTGCCCCTCACTGCTGTGGGTTTAAATCCGGACAGAAACTTTCGCTTCTTTCATGTGAGGAAGCTATCCTGAACTATAGTTACAGAATGTCAGTGGTTCTACTCAGGTGCCTGTTCGTGCCTGAAATAATGCATGGAAGGGCATCTGAGGTCTACCTCCACCAGTAAAGCTGGAGCTTTGCCATATGACCCATTCTGTATTAATGTAACTTAAAACCCGATCAAACAAACAAATCTAAAAAGTTTGTAAATTAAATTTTTTTATGCAAAAAAAAAAGTTTTAAACCGAGCTCGGGACAAAAATCATGATTCATGCTCCGTATAAATCTATATTTACAGAAATTTCCATCTGAATAAAGTGATTGGGTTTTATTATCATGTCCTCAGTGTGGGTTCATTCATGAGTTTTGTCAGATCTATCAACATTAAAAAAAAACACCGAGACTTTTTCATTCAGTGTATAAAATTTACAAGGACGTCATTTGATACGGTTTCGTTTAGTGTTCTGTTAATTTGCATTTTAACAAAACCGAATACCAGGTTATTAGCACTGAAAACTCATATTTTATGTTGATTTATCAATTAAAGAAAAATTAATGTTAATTTATATAGTGACGTTGTCGTCCCAGAATTTTGTTTTGTAATAATGGTTTCAGTATATAATATAGTTGAATAATTGAAAATAGTTTACGTTAAAATTTTGGGCATAATACATTGAGTGACTTAGATTACCAGCCAAGCTGGAAAATCACCATTTGACCATCACAGTTTTGAAGTAATTTCAAATAAACAACCATAGCTAACCAACCAACCAACCAACCAAGAAAACAAACATATAAACAAAAACAAACACAAAAGAAGACTGCTACCTACTATCAATAATATTTTATTGTATATTTTGTACATGATAAATTTACACATTCTAACATCATTATCTATAATAAGCATAAATACAATGTACATACAAAAGGGTTGGACAACATTATCTTGGGTCTTCCCCTAAATTATTGTTGGGTACATAATGTTAAAATAAGATTTAAAAAATGAAATAAATTAATATATATTTGAGCTTAAAATAATTTTAAAATGAAAATATGAAAAAGTTAAAATAAGATATAAAATGATAAAATAAAGAAAGATTTATTCAGGCTTAACATAATTTTGAAATGAAAATATGTAAAAGTAAAAATAAAGACAGATTTATTTATGCTTGAAATGATTTTAAAATGAAAATATTGGACATTTACAAGTAGGGAGTAAATCAACACTTGAAAACTACAGGATTTTAACACCTTTTGGAGTTTATATGACAATGTATAGAGGCTTTGTTTGCACACTAGCAATATGAACAAGATATTAATGTTGATTCTTTGTGGAAAAAAACACTGTTAGAAACGAACCCCTTGAAACATGTTGAAGATTGAAAATAATTTTTGACTGAAAGTTTTCAAAACTTCAATATTTTTATTTATAATGAAAGAAAAGTTGAAAATTTACCAAGTTTAATATATCAAGAAGACAACGGTTCAGATTTTTCGTACATTTTTTCTTTTTTTACCTCCTTGAGACATTGCAAAACTTTGAAGAAAAAAAAAATATAATATGGATTTAAAATCTCAATTATTTGAAAATATTAAGTAAATAAAACTAAGGTTACATCTAAATTGGTCAAATAGACGGCAAAATCTGGTAGGTAATAATCGTCTTTGCACTGACATACGTCTTTCAACGTATTTTTTAATATTTACAAAATCAGGATTAAAAAAAAAAAGGCGACAATCAAAGAACACTTGAATCAGCTGTCGTAGGAAGTGTACAGTAGCACCCCCTACTTCAAATACAGGATTATAGACTTACTGAATTATGATGTAATAAAAATACACCATGACATGTTTTAATAAATTTTCATACTGGATGAATGATAACGTTTGTTTCGTACAGAACTGTTTACATCTTTGTGCAAAGCAGTGTATATAGTCTGTAAGTGCCGGATTTAATTTGCTTGATCTATGCTTTAAATGCCATAATAAATAATAAAAATGCCGAACAGTGGATTTACAAAGTTTTGAAAAATCACATGTTTCTGCGACATCTAGTGTGAAAACATTGCGATCTGAATGTTAGGTCTTGTTTCGTTGAACCAGTTAAAATCACTCTCTGTTGATATTAATGCAACAATGCCGAAGAATAAGCATAAGAACATCGGGACGAGTTCCCTCAAGGTTAAGCCGAAGAAACGGCCTGGACTTATCAAGCAGTTATCTCAGCCATTTTTTATGACAAATAAGAAAAATAAGAATTCAAATGGAGCTGAACCAGAAAAGGCAATTTCATGCGTTAGTAAAGAAGATTTGGGACTTTTCGGTGGTTTTGATGACATGTTTTTGCCGGACAGAACTGCATTGTCTGAGAGCGTGTTCCTTTCGCCTGAAATTGAGAAATATCTAAATTCTGGTAAGTCTCCACTAACGCTAGAGATTTCCGGACACCGAGAGAAATGTTCAAGTGGAGATAGTGGTTATATGTCACCACCGAACATTAATGAGGTAACCTCTCCGTCATCCCTCATACCAACAAAGGGTATATTGAAAAAGATGAGGTCAAACTCACCAGACTCAAGGTCAAATTCTCCGTTGCTCACTGTGGCATCTCCCGACAGTAGAGCGTACATGTCATCGCCAGCTTTTAACGGGCATGTTACGCCAATGGTACAAATTCGGGATAGGCCAATGTCACCGTTTGAGAGACCAATGTCTCCTTTAGGTGATGATGGTATTGATAGTGCTCTGGGATTTTTGGACGATGTGATTGATCAAGAGAATGTCAAGAAGACTGTCAAGAAATCTGTCTCATTTGGCCAGTTGGCTGAAGTGAAAAATTTTACAAGCGACTCATCGGATAACGATATCTGTGATGACTTTAAACCAATTACAAAGAGCGTTTCTTGCGGGGACGTTGAAAACTTAAAACGTAAAAAGGACACAATAAACAAATCATTCAAGAAAAGTGTTTCTTTTGAAGATATAACAATGAGTACAGCAGATGGTGATGAATTAGAGGGAAGTGATTCTTGTGAAGAACTTATACCTGTACATGATTCGGATAGTTCTTTATCGGATAGTGAAAAATTTGAAGCCGAAGATGACGGGAAGTCGTGCTCGTGTGAGAAAATTTGCGAATTTGAGGTTGAGGTCAAGGTCATTGACATTCAACCTTTACACAAAGGTCAAGGTCAAATTGATGATGAGGAGGAAGAATATGCATGTAAACTTTTGGATACATTTAACGTCATGGTGAGTGGATTTGATTTTCATTGTTTCTCCAACTTTTTTTGTAAGCCCTTTAAATTGTGGAATTTGAGTAATGCATTTGCCCTCCGTCCATTGGAATTTTAAGGGAATACAAAATTGAGCTTAGAGCTTGATAGAATGGATGTTGAATTGGGAAAGGTTACAGCAGCCTGAAGGTCGAAATTTAGAGGTAGCTACTTGGACATAAGAAAGATCAGAAAAAAACATTTCTTATTTTGACTATAATGTTTCCCAAAATTGTGTGTGAGAAGTGAGATATTTTCTATATCTTTACTCAAAACAAATATACATGTATAGTGAATATGTGACTATGTTTCAATATCAAATGACCAAGTAGCCTAAAGATTATAAAATGTTCTTCTGAGTTCTGCTCAAACCCCATGATTTTTATTGGTCAGTGTACATTCTGTGGTACTAGTTTTTGACCAATCAGAAACCTGAGATCTGAGTTTGAGCCTAGAGAATTTGTTTTTAACCTAAGTGGACCCTGTTCATGAGCTATTGATGTATGGCAAAATAAGTTTGAATACTATTAAATAATTAATGCACAAAAATAAAACTAGCATTAGACTATTAATTTTGCTTTATCACTCGGATGATGTGAACATGCATAGTGCATCTGGATAATTTACGGGTAAAATGCGACATAAATTTAACTTGATTTATTCAGAAGAATTCATTAAATCTTTGTTGCAATAAATCCTCGATCATTAACCTTGTAAATATTTATTTTAAAGAAACCGCCTGTGTTTGTTTGATTCTGCTTTGAATATTAAGTATGTATAAATATTCAAACTATTATATTAAGCATGATAACTCTCTATTTTAACTATTTTGAAAATGTTGAAGAAGTGAACCGTATTGTATCTTTTCTAAAATAGACATTTTCACATATTGTGAGAAAGTTGGGTAATTTACGATCCTTAGTGCAAATTGTAGCTCAGACTGCTTATGCCCTTAGCATATAGGAAGTTTGTAATTTTGGCGGGAAAATTTGCTAAAGCAGTTTAAATAATCATGTATCATAGAAATAAGACTATCAGATATTCTTTGGTCATGTTTAAGTGTTTCATCTGTTTTATTTTCTATTGTTTTGATTTGGATTAACATTATAAGCACCGACACTAATTTAGTATAGGTCTTATAAGTATAGGTATTATGATGGCAACTTTCCACCTTTACTGTAGGTGGAAGACCTCAGGTGCCCTTCCATGCCTTTATTCTGGCACGAACAGGCACCTGAGTCTAAGTAGCTATCTGGTTCAGCTGGATAATCTAAAGTACCTATATGGATTAGCACCCACAGCTTCAGGGGCAAGAGATTTTGAAGTTAATGACCTTAACCACTCGCCTTACACTGGACGCCCCGTTTAATCTTTGTATTAACTGTTATTAACTATTATATACTAAAAAAAAACCAAGGCCCCTGCGACCAGTGCTAACTTAAAGATCAGCTGTCACATCCGTGCCATCTGATCATGATGGTAAGATATTTAACATGGTATTGGTTAAAGTGTGATGACCAGTTGTGTTGAGTTTGTAAGTCTTTCTGAAACTGTACCAAATTAAAGGCAAAGTTCCTGCTTTACTGATGAAGATACTCTGGTGCCCCTCGGTGCATTATTTCAGGCACAAGTGGGGGTACATGATTAATAACCACCAAGCATCAACTATCCTTAGTTTAAGCCAGACAATTCTTCACATTAAATATGAAGGCTTTTTACCAGTCTTAATTGTTAAGGGTCCAAGGCCTTTTTAATTTTTGTAAGACATTGCAAGCACCATTTTCCTAGTTATTGTGAAGTTCTAGCATTATTTTTCCTTAAAATTGTGAAAGAAGAAACACAATATTTTGACCCAATATGTGGAAGTCAATTTCAAACCCATATTTTTCTATATTTGATAAAAAATTAAACATTTACCTTGCATGTTTTAACATGAAACAGTTTTGATGTAATAACTTGAGATATTTTAGGGTATTTACAGGTGGTCCTGCTAAATAATACTTGTACAAGGCTATATAACCTGTGAGATGTATTTAAAATTTATTTGAGTAATACTGCCTAATTGCTTACTCTTTTTATTTTTCTATATTAGTGATATATTTTCTATATTTTTTACTTCAAACAAATATATAGTGAATATACATTAATAATGACCTGTTCATGAGCTATTGACATTTTGCATCAGAAGAAAAATTAATGAACAAATTTGTAGCAATTCTGTACGTAAGAAGTATAAACATAACAGTTCACCAATGAAAATTAATGTTACAAAATTGATGTGCAGGTACCCTTTTCTGGAGGCGGGAAGCTTTATGTCTTTTGTCTGAATTTAAAGCATAATTTATAAAATTATTTAAATTGCCAATGATAGATGGGTTAATTTCTATCATTAATATTTTTTTAATAACAATTTGATAACAGACACTGAATTACTATGACATTTAAATACTCGTATAACAACTTTAATATTCTACAATTTCTGAACTCCGCCTTTAAATTCCCGAAATTTATATTAATTATAATTTTCTTACATTGATATTGATTTTTGTATAATTACAAGCATCTCAAATATGTTTCTTACATAACAACATTTTTGTCAAGTTTTGTGAGTTTTTTATGGTATTTCCTCAATAAATGACATGTTAAAATGTCGTAAAGAACCCAGTAATCAATCATAAATTTATCAATTTATTTTGACTGAAAGGTGAAATGGGATGTATTTTTAAAACTTAACCTAAGGATTCCATGCATGGTAATGTGACATTTCGAGAAATTGAGTTCAAAACTGCAGTAACTTACATAAAATAAAGAAGGAATTAGAACAGTGTTGCGATCAACCATCGATTTGTAAATAACTCAGTATTTTTTTCCCTGACATCAGATGATCTTTTTATAATAATGAAATAGATGCATACAAAATTAATTAATGTATGGTTTCTTGACATTTAAAACATTAATGTAGCATGGATAAAAAGTTTGTGTTTAAAAGAAGTCCATTTGCAGTTTATAATTTTGATTGTAAACAAAGTTATAAATATAGTGATTTTTTATTAATTCTTTATCACAGTGTTTAACTGATGTGACAGCCTCTATTATAATAAAAAATAAAAGAAAAAAAATAAGAATAAATAAACGTTTTACTAAAAGAATCAATATCTTGACCTTATAGACATTATTTTAATAATTGTAGATAATTGGGGTTGATTCCCTTTGTTACAATACACGCCATTTGCATACCTCTAATAAAACTGACAAAACAAAGGAACTCTGGAACAGGACCGTATATTGCGGCGCATAAATCCGAATCCGTACCAGCTTTACATATTGTTTGTCCGACCTTTGAATATCTTTTTATATTATACGAGCGGATGGTCTTTAATTATCTTATCTCAATTTAATATAATCTGCTAATTTAAATATCAGTCAAATTTACGGTATATTGAAAAAAGGAAAGGAGTGACATCCGCCATTTGCCGCAACGTTCGGCGTAAGTTACCCCCCTTGATATGCTTGATTTTTGTTTTAATTTTTCTAGTTCTCTTTTGAATATTTATCTATGGATCATGTTTTAATATTCCTATTTTTCAGTTAGGCAAAATCTATTAGACCATATTACTAAAGTGTCTGTTTTCTCCATGTAAACAAATCATAACACGAATACGCCCGTTTAATAATGCCGACTATACATGTCAAACACTAGTGCATGTCAACACGTGTAAACAATAAACCGTTACGATACTGATAGTTGACAACGATAACGGGAAACAAAATTCTGAAAAAATAGTAATCAAGTGTAGCCAAAGGGGGAAAACTCATGCCGAACGTTGCGGCAAATGGCGGATGTCACTCCTTGTCTTTTTTTATAATACCCTAAAAATTTTACCCGTTTTTAAAAAAATAACGATTGGGTTCAAATGATAATATATTGTTTGAGGCCCTATGCTCGGATAAAACTTAAAAATTTTCAATGAGCAGCGTTTTTAAAAAAAGTTTCACGATGGGAAAATTTTGCCCCAAACTGCGGGCCCTTTCGAGTTCCCATGTGACAAAATTTTTGCAGTAAGTTTTTATTTTTAAGGGGCACTGTTTCCTTTTTTGTTTTTAAAAAACCCGGGTGAAGATGAAATTTGGAATCTTTGGGCTTTTTCTCCCTTTTTCCCCCTTTTTACCTGTAAACCCGCTGGAGAGATGGGGGGGAGAGACCCCTGTGCAGCCCAAATCAGTCGAATGTCCCTGTCTCTGTTTATCAGGTTTTATTTTTTCTATTCTTAAATTTCTTTTCCCAAAAATTTTTGAATGGTTTTTGTCCCGGCTGAAAAATGGACAAGTCATTTTAGGATATTTAGGGTGGTAACAGTTAACTGTTTTCTGGGTATTTATAATGTTTTACTGTCAAAGATTATAAATAATATCATATGTGCTGGTATTTATCTCCCAAAGTCCCTGCGAGGGGTCATCAATTGAAGATTTTTATTTTTGGGATAGTATTAAAATTTTGTAATACTGGCCTGTAATTCATTTCATAATCATTATATTGTAAATTTTCTTGTTGTCAAATGGTTCATGCTTCGATGATACATGTGATTTGTCACTGTACAAAATTGGAGATCAAAGTGAAATTGTTCCTTGTATTAATTGTGAGGTATGTTTTATTATTCAACCATAGCGGTTACTAACAGATTTGGTTTTTACTTAATTATGATGTTACTCTGATGTGATGAAAACGATCCTTATTAAAACATTTGATGTATCTTTTTGCACTGTGTATAACATGCAGATTAATTTGTCTACATGAATGCATGACTTAATCTGGAAAACCTGTTCATTTCTAAAAAATATACGCCTATAATTGAAAGTTTTAATCCTTGCCATGCTAAATTTGTATATTAGGCATGTCGATATTTGAATGTTGTATGTCTTGTGACTGTTCCTATTTTCAATAATGGTCCAATGCCAAAATACTCAACAAATGAGCTC